AGAAGAAGTTCTGCAGTGGGTTAAAAGAGAATAATGTGTTATTGTTGACAGAGGCTTCCGTGATTCCTTGACATTACTTGAAGACCTTGGATTAATATCTGCCATGCCTGCTTTTATGAAGAAAGGTGAAAAGTAAATGTCAACAGAGGATGCCAATACCAGCCGTTTAGTGACTAAGGTATGCCACATAATTCTAAGTAAGAAATGATGAGTTTTGAAGGATTAGATAGAGAGAGAGATGGATGGATGAATTTAAGTTTTGTTAGATATATTCACATGGAATTGATCTCTTTATTATTTATGTTACAGATACGCTGGGTTGTAGAATCAGCTAATGCTCGAATAAAAAGGTGGAAATTCTTTGATCGCATCCTTCCTTCGTCTCAGGTGCCATTCATTAGTGACTACATCCAGATTGTGTGCGGAATTTCAAACAAGTACTTTCCGCCTTTGTCAACAGGTACATTGTATCTGTGCGTCTGTCCGTACCATACATAACACATTTTCGTCGCAGTTTTCTCAGTAGCTACTGATTGCAGATGCTTAAAATTTTAGAACACTCTTTGTTTAGGCATGCCATATGGTGGGATTCATTTTTGTCTGAATCCGATGTTCACTTCCTGTTTATCTGTGCGCCTGTCCGTACCATACAAAACAAATTTTCGTCACAGTTTTCTCAGCATTTTCTCATTGCAGATGGAAATTTTAGAATACTCTTTGTGTAGGCCTGCAATATGGTGTGATTCATTTTTGTACAAATCTGATGTCAACTTCTTGTTCATCCCTGTGTCTGTCCATAACTGAACTTGTGTACATTCACATCAGAGTTTATATTCACATAAAAGCGGGGGTATTACTAGTGAGCACTGGCTCACAGACTTTTTTTTTCCATTTTTTAGATTGAATTGAAATAGGCCCAAATGACCTTATACAAGAAGCCTTTCATCTGCTGACACTTGGAGGCAGTATTGCTGTAAATTGAACGTCACTCTCTCTCTTTCTCTCGGATCCGGAAAAGAAACAAAGGCTGAAAAAAAAAATAGAAAAGAAGTTCGCGAGAATCGTGACGGGAAAATTCTGAAAAAAATTATTGATGGATTTTTTTTTACCCTTGGGACTAAGCGGTAGAAGGGGCACAACCAAATTCCAGACAAATCCTGTCCTATAAGGGTACAAGTAGCTGTTATGAAATGAGCATGAAAGTTTACGACATTTAGTGTTGTAAATGAATACTCGGTTACTGTTGAATGATACGAGTATGGATTTAGTAAAGTTACAAAAAAGTTTAAAACCACGTTTGTGTATTTTTAATGGGTTTGTCGTAATTTCGTTATCTGATTGGTCAAAAAGATTGTTTATTCCTTGGTAACACCTCGTTAATTCTGTGTATTTATAACAATTAACGGTTATTATTCTTGATTTCTATAATTGGAAGTTGTCCAGACTTATTTAAAGGAGAGGTTTTACAGATACTATTATTTTTTTCATGAAATGTCAGTGTATGCAACACATCATTTGATTATTTCTTACTCGTACTTTAAGAAATGTTGGAACGCAAAAATGGTGTTGGCCAGACAGCATTAAAAAGTCAATCGTCACTGGCCACAAAAGCCGCAACAGAGTAGCATGGTTTCCAGAGTGTGAGTGAAATTCAAAATGTAAGAAATAATGAAAATCTTATCTTATACAATAGTTGCATCATGTATTGTAACATTTTTTTTCTCAACACAAAAAACATTTCTTCCTGTTAGAGAACGTAACAGTTTTACAACTGAATTTTGACGTTGAGCTTTGATGTACTGTTTAAGAAACTGTATGCATTGGTTTTCAGCTGCTGTCATTGGATTTGAAGAGAGCATCTTTAACACCTTTCTCACAATTGGCCTCTTTGATTCATTTATTACCAGGAGATCCGCTTCATTTTAAATTTAGCTGATTAATTCCTTTCTGCATACTTCAATCATTTTTTTCTGAAGCATACTTTCGTTTTTGAATAGTTTCTCTCTGGGCCATGTTTAAGAGTTCTTTCTTCATCTTTTCTATTTTGGGAATCTTTCTGCATCCAAAAATGTTTAACATACCTAAGAAATCAAATCCTCATTTTCCTTTTCAGATAATTGTCTTTCTAAAGCACCTTTTGATTAATCTTGGTCTGATTTGTTAGGTGAAGCAGGAACGAATTCATCAATGTTTCTTGACTGACAGTGTTCTCCAAATAGAAGGGCCGAAATAAAGGCAAACTTTAATGGAAATACGTTGTGATCCATCAGACCTTTTTCAAGAAGGAGTTGTGCCTTGTGGCATCAGTTCTTTTTGAGAAAGACCTGAATTGTCTTGCGGCATCAGTTCTATTTGAGGAGAACATGAAGTGTCCCGTGGCACATCATCATTTTTTTCTAATTGGTTCCCTGATATTGTTGAAAATTTCATTAAAAATATATCTAGGGAACTGTTTTGAAAAAAAAAAATCAGGATCTTCTGGTAGATCTGGCAACTTATCTTAATTGTCTGATGTCAAAAATGAAGGCTCAGGATTGTTTTCCTCTGTTTTAGTGTAAATGGAAGCACAGCATTCCCATGTTTTTACCTTCTTGAGTGCTTTAAATCTTTTCCATCACTCTGAATTGATTGATTCCAGAAGGACGTTGATAGTTATCCTTGTTTATAGATTCGTTGTGCCCTAGATGATCATAAAAAACGCTCCTGAGTTTGTCTGACATATCCAAGCTTGTATATACTGTTGAAGCTCTGTGTCTATTTTTCGTTACTGAAACAGGAGATACACCCGCTGCTTCACAAGCAGTAGAAACTGTGTTACATCCAGAGCTTAGAACTCTTCGTAGCAAACAAAAAGTTATTAGTCTCTGCTGTGCCAAATGCTAATGTGTTTGATACAAGGAGTTCAGTTGGTCCGACCAAATTATTAGGAATCAGAATTGGAACACATTTTTCTCCCCTTTCCTGCCATGTACTCTAGCTTACATGTATAATGTCCAATAAGATATTCTCTGCATCATCTGACATTTTCAACAGTTTCCCGAGGTATCTAGATGGCATTTATAGCATCATACCAGTGCTCGAGCAATAGTCTGGAACCTTATTCCCCTCGTCTAGCATTATATAGAGTTAAACTGACAACTACTTGTATACTGATTAAGTGAGAAGTTTATCTTGGCGTCATCTACTAAAATTTTTTGAACAAGAAAATGTTTCAATTCTCCCATGTCAACTTCCACTGGTAGGTTTCTGGGGAGTCTTACCTATTCTTTGTGTGGTACATGTACCTGGTTTTGCCAACAATATCAGGGAACTTTCCTAAACATTTCCAATTCCTTTATCTTGGAGTCAAGCTGTGGTTCTGAGTAATATTCTTAAATTAAGAATTTTAATGCTTCCTTGGAAGTTTATTTAAATTTATTTTCAGGCAATATCTTTCTCCTGCTGTACAAGACTTGTGAAGGCCTCTTTGAGAGTTGTTAGATGAGGGTCGATTTTTTTTTTAACAATGCCCCGTTTCCTTGAACTCCTTTTACGCAGTAGCCTAATCATCTTTTGGAAGATTATTGCTGGTGTCTTATAGAGGTGCAATAAGGTTTCGGAATTTTCATTTTTGTACCCTAGGGTTCAAATGGGGATCGAAAATTACGTTTTTCATACAAAAAAGCCTTTGTTCCCAGAACTCCTCTTACATGTACGCCTATTCATCTTTTGAAAGATGATTGATGGTGTCCTGTAGGTGTGCACTAAGGTGGTGTAATTTTCATTTTCACCGGGGAGGAGGGGGGTGGGTGGGTTATGGGTCTAAAATGGCGTTTTTTTTCTGCATTTTATATCTACTATTAGTAACTTGGCAACATCACTCATGGGAGACAAAATTGATAAACACTGAATTATGCAAATTTTTAAAGGTTGGATGTTCATAGAGCCTTTGAAATCGAACCAAAACGCTAGGAGGAGTAGCGGTTTGAATGAATTTCACAAAAATATCTTTTCTATACTAACCATGGCAACAGTATTTCAGGAAATCAAAAACCGATAAATAGAATTATGTATCTCAGTATAGTCTACTTGTGCTCCAAGTATTGATGAAATTCATGATAGTCATTTTATCTGCCATTCTCATACGTTTTTCTAGAAGAAAACAAAATCAATTGAATGCGAGAAAATATATTCCGACCATTGTCTGAAAAAAAAAATCAAATATATTTACCGTTTGTTTTCTACAATTATATATATATATATATATATATAATATATATATAATTTTACTTTTGTAATGAAAAATGTCCTAGATTTGTTTCCCTTCTTTCGAGATAGCGATTACCTGCACATGTAATGTGCACATGACTCAAAGCAGTAGAATATATATCATTGCTTTACTTGAATTAGCCAGTTAAGGGTCAATTACGGTAAGCGATTTTACTAGAAATTATGGATTTTGTAATAATGTCTGTTTCGAGACTGACTGTGCAAGAATTTGGAGAAGTACCCGGCAAAGCGAAAGCATTTTTCTGTTCAACAAATAGTAATACCTATGGGCTGAGTCATAACTTTCCGATTTTTATTTTTTAAACTTCACTATCGTTTCACAGATTAATTTTTGGGGCCGTTTTGAATTTTGTGTTATATATCTTGCGTCAGGAAATAATTGCGAATAAATCTTACATAAAAAAAAAGCAAGTGATATTTCTGAGAATGATTTGTCCATGGAAAGAGAAATAAATTTTTATATTAATCTTTGTAGAAAACAATAGTGTGTCTTCAAAAAATAAGCATTTTTTTTTTTAATTTATAAACGTACTCTCACCAACCTGGTAATACGTGATCATTTTCGAGCTACCTTGTTTATGTACTCCAATTAAATACCGATTTCAAGTTCTACTGTAGTCAGATAACTGCAATAAAGTGTTTTTCTTTAAAAAATCTATAGACTTCGGTAAGTGTCCGGGTACTTTAAAGTATATCGATGTTTTAAAGGTAGATTAAGCCCCATGAGAAAGAAACCATTGGAGCGACGGTTTAGTTGACAGGTAAATTGTGTTTAATCTTACACGGTTGTAGATCATATTTCCTTAACATGCACGTTATGTATATATTGTTGCAATAGAGGACAGATGCTGTCACTGTTGTCGGATCAATAAGGGGATAGAATCTTTGATATTTATTGATACAATTTTAAAATGGTCATAATTATATCTCGTATGTTATTCAGTTTTGTAACGGATAGGACTTAAATGTAGGGTTTAAACTTACGTTACAGCACACTCCTGATGAGGTAAAGTTTTCATCAGTGTTTTTATATCTGAACGTTGACCTTGATACACACAGAGCTCAAACAAATATGCCACTTTCGGGATAATAGTGAATAGAAGGAGAGTTACAAAATAATGAATAATCATAATGTATATTTGCTTTGAGAACAAAAAATATACTGAGTGATATATTAAATTTAAAAAAAAAAATACATCCCAATATAAGGGCAATGCGCATAGCTTATATCCTGTCAAACTTTCTCTAAGTCCTTACTGTAAAAGCAGTGTACCGTAAAGGTCACTTTCAGAGTATTATCACATAAATCATATACCACTGGTTAACAAAGGGTAATATGGTGTTTGTGATTTTATCTCGCTATAAATTTTATACCTACTAAACACACATGGTCTACAATCGGTTATCAACAAAAGAAGCGGGGTATGTTTTTATGTTATCCACTCAATCTTAAAACTTAAATTTAGAAATCTAAATAGTTTTATTAACTTGTGGTAGGGGAATATCTGAATCAATTGTTTTTCAGGTTCAAACGATTTGATATAATTTTTGTGATTTAAAATGTTAGTCCCTCGTATTTTCCGACGTCCACGTAAAAAAGGAAGTGACCCGTATGCAAAAGGTATTTTTTTTAAACCATAATGTTTCGTTCCCCTTAAGTCACTTAGGGGTTTAATATTGAAATAGTTATGTATAATGTAAAGTAAACTAAATTTCCTTTAAAAAATCACATAATTCCATTTAAGGTACCGAAGAGTTCACTGAAATTATAATGTGTTAATGCATAGTAAACAACCGAATTTTATCGTAATGGCAAACAAATGTACAAATTTTTATCATAATGCAGAGCTAGATATTTCTCATGATTTAAAAGTATATTTAAAAAAAAAACTTCTGTGGAATTTTAAGGTTCTTTAACTAAATGTAACTAATGGTCATAAAGTTAAAATTTTACCATGAAATCAGAAATCTGATTTTTCTTTTGCATTTATTGAAGTATTGGGGTTTTTTTTAATTGCAAAAATGTATAAACAATTTGAAAAAAAAAATAACTGTGTCGTGAATGCAAACTATAAAGACTATAAATCAATACACCGAAAATCATTGGAATGAACGAGTCTAAAACCTAACTACGCAAATAAATTGCTGGGTCGATATAAGTTATTCAGCAATGATATGGAATTTAAATTTGTCAATATATACCTATACATAGAACATACAGATATAGCTTGAAATGACATATATTGTTGTATTCTATAGGACAACAAAGTAAAAATGAATACGTTCCGAATGATGGCAATATTGACAGCTCAAGGAACTACGTCTATTCATGGCACTACGACATGCCTTTCTACAAATAACTTTCTGTAGAGGGAAACAAAAATCGTGAAGAGGTATCAGGAATATGCATTTATTCGGAAAGACAGCATTAATAATATTTCAGGGAGTCATTTTAATTCAAGGTAGGAAAGGTTTTTCTCTATTAAAATAAAAATTTTCTTGACATGTACAAATTTTTTTGGCACAAAAAGTAGTAATCGGTGTTTGAATGAATTCGATGAAAGTAATCTCTTTAGATATATTCTATTTTTTATGAATTGGTTGACCTTCTTTAATATTATTTATAATTTCTTGCACAATGTCTTCATTCATGTAAAATCTCATAAATAAGCGCAAAAAGAGAAAAATTCCATACGAGAACTGCTAACGAAACCTTTTAATATTAAAATAACACAAGCAGTGAAAAATAAGCAAATTCTCTCAAAACTCTCTTTAAACTTGTAAAGGGTACATTTTAATCTCGATATAATATTTGTTACATATATAAATGTTTTATCTCACGTGAATACATTACAAATGTAGTATTTTCTGTAAATGAAAGTGTGGATAATTTTAACTAAATGCTTGAAATTCTTTCTTCAAGGAATATTAGGAATTATCATTAATAAAGAGGAATTAGAAAAAGGGACTTGTCACTCAGAGGAACTGCGAGTAGAGACATCGATGGAATGTGACGCACAAACCATCAGGATTAACATTGTGTCAAAACTATTTCAAAATGAATTGGCACACTGTGAAAATAGTAGTGGAATAATAAACTGTTTTCCTGATGATAACGTGCAAAGTCTTTACAACTACAGCAGTGGTGTTTTGGTATTCATCACTAAGTTTAATCACACTCACCACGCCGGGTATAGACTGTGGGTAAACGCTTCATGCTATACCCAAAATGACACGAAGGAGAATGTTCTACTTAAGCCTTGTGGTAAGTTAACATATTTTAATTTCACTTCTCTATCTAAAAGTGCTCAAGACTATTTACGGCATGACTTTAACCTTGAAAAAAATAGACATGACCATTCTTTCTACACTATTTAGGGTACCAATTTCTTATCCGCAACTCCCCCTATACCACTCCGTGAAATGTTATGAGACTTTTACAGGATCTTTATTACAAAGTGTCCTTGTACACCTTTTTATACTCCGAGTGGCACATACGTGGAAGTTCCAAAAAAAAAAAAAAGCATGAACAGTGCTATTCTTTCTTTAGTTTTGGGAAGCAACCATCTAAAATTTAATGAGGCTGTCACAGATTTTTATTTGGTAGTGCCTTTGTGTCCCTCTTCCATGTTCTGTGGGGTTTCCGATAGCGTAAAAAATGACCTTGTCATTATTACTCATATTGGAGTTCTCAATACCTCTAGTTTTTTCTCTTTGTATGTGTTTTTCAGTCAGTGGCTTCAGAACATCTGCCTACCATAACGGCTCCCACGTTACAATTTCATGCGAACATGAATCGTTTAAGATGTCAGACAAGGGTATACGCGTTGTAGGCAAGGAAGACTTAGCACATTGCTGGTGGAACAAAGAGCACCTAACCAACCGCTGCTTTGGAGAGGCTGAAGGTTAGTCTTTACAAAAATAACTGTTTAACCGACTTTGCAATAGATTACGTTTCGTATCCCAACGTTTTGAGATCACATACATCTAATGAAAGAAGCTTTGCTTTAGATAAGGTTCTGTATTAGTTAATAAGTGTACGATCAAGTTTAGTGTTCTATTCCTAACTGTAATTTAAAATGTTAATTTTCAGCTCTGACCAATGGCTTCAAGTTAACAACCCCATATACAGCTGAAATGAACATCAGCTGTAAATTTGACGAACAATCCATCAAAATTGAAGCTGTAGAGCAAACAACAACAAAAACAACTACAGCACTGACAATTACAAGTCCTACAACAGCTGAGACAACCTATGACACAACAAGCGTGACCACTCCTATAATAACACCACCAACGACAAGAGCAACAACTAATAGAAGGACAAGTAAGATAATTCTCAGTACTATCTATATTGTGTCACAGTCGAATAAAGAATGCTAACCATAGTGGCCCTGTTTACTCCAACAGACACAGAAAACAAACGTACAAATGGAAATTTCGTATGGCACAATAGTTTAATATCTGTTGGGTCTAACTGTAATTTTCCTTTTACTGAAAATACTTTCTGTGTTTATGTGCAAGATAAATGAATTTTACATTAATATTTTGCATACACTTTTAGTGCTCTTAATTCACAGTGCTTAAAATAATTTTGATGAATGTTCACCAATAAAAATGTATGTAGGCTATTTGTATTTGAATATTTGTTGGCTTATCCCGATGATACCTGTCTTCAATGTAATAATCAAATAAATATTTATGAACATACACATCAGCTGATTTTTTAAACACATAAAAGAAAAAGTTTGCAATTTAACTTTAATTTACTTTTCCCTGAAAGATCTTAGCGAAAAAAATTCAAAGTTTTGATTTTGGTTTCACTTAAAGAAATATTTGAACAAATATAGAGATTTTTACTAAGGATTGAGTGTTTAGGAACCCTCTCTACACTTAACACTTAAGATTTTAGGGAATTTTGTGGAGTTAGAATAATGAATTTAAACATTCTAACGGGCCAAGATATTCTAAATGATCCCTGTGTTAGCGTGTATTTTCCCCACACAATTAAGCAACGGTGATTTTTGTTCATCGATACTTCATGGTCGTCAACATTTTACCTGAGGGTAAATGCCAGGAAAAATATATTGAATTTACACCTTTATACAATGCAGTTTTCTTAATAATCATGCTTTTATAATGAAGAGGGTCCTAAAATATATTCTATGCCGTTTTACTTTTATATAAATCGTATCCTTCGAAACAACACACATTGTATCGACAAAAAAAAATAACATGTCCATTTCCATTTGTAGCGAAATCTCCATCGTTTGTCTACGGAGGAAGTGGAAAGAAAAACAAGATATCCATATCGCCTCTAGTGTTAAGTGTATCAATATTTGCATGCATCTTTAGAGATACATTTATTTGAAAAAGAGGAGGGGAATATTCTCTGTGAGGTCCGTATCTACCGCCGTTAAAGAATTCGCTTCGAGTCAAGCATCTGTAATCAACTTAGAGGTGTAAAGGAAATGGGTACCAAAAATAAAGATGTCACCATGTGTAATTTTTACATGGATTTATAAATACTTATGTATTCAGGAAATGAACCTTATTCTTTCGTCAAATCATGAAATATAGTACCCGTATTAATTGTGAGCATATTAAGAAAGAGCGATTTTAAATGATTTTTAGCACAAAAGCTAAATGTTTGTTTACAGATTATCTATATATCAAAAATGTGTGGAGAATTTGTGAAAACTGAAATAAGGGAAATGGGTGCTAATATGCAAAGTGTACAGTTTTTTTTTTTTTTTTGTTTTTTGTTTTTTACGTGTGATTAACAGATCTCAACACAACGAAAAAACCTTAAACCCTGATTCCAATAAAATCAATTCTGAAGTGCAGACATTTTGCCGCAATACTCTGATGTATCTCACAAAATGGTTAGATTTATGGATGCTTACCTGTGACTTTTAAATGGATTTGTATTATGACAAAGATAACTTCTCTGTTTAAATGCATGTTTTACTTACTTTGCACGTAAATACATGTATGTTTACTTTTGTTTCCGTGTTGTTTTTTTTTTTTTTTTTATAAAATGCCGTTTTATCTGTATCATTTGTTTTAATCAATTGCTAAAATTGTAGTTTTCCAATACTGTAGGACAAAATAAGCAACATTATTATTTCTGATATGTTTTTGTTGAATCCAGGCTCTGCATTCCCAGACCTGCCTACCCTTTTCATTGCGAGGGTGTAATTTCAAGACTCAATTAGGTGGAATTTCAGAGGTAAAGGCGTATAATCCTTTATGTTTCCCTAGTTTGGTGTTTTACAATGATACAATATTGTCTAAATAAACCTGAAATTGTACATCATTGAACAAAGCAAGCATGAATGTTTCTTTTTCAAATCATTTATAGACAAAAAGTCCCTTTGTTGTAAAAACTGGTATCCTAAATACAGTCAAATCAAACTTATTTATCTAACATTCCTAATGAACGTTTGGAAAATTTTTTAGCAAATCACATAATTCAGAGTTTCAATCGCATATTAATACAAATTCTACATTATTCCGCTATTTCGTTTTTGTTTTTCTTACATTTACTTGTCTCTATGTTGTTCTAAGCAATGCAAGAATAAACCGAATTGAAAATTAAACTGACTTTACTTATTGCACACATCATTCAAAAGTTTTTTTTTCTTAATTTTGGCATGCCGCCCGTTTAAAAGGCATAACTACAACGTATATTACGTATGTTGTTTGTATCGTAAATAATCATATCGTAAAGAACCGAAACCCTCTATTAATTAGATTATTTACCTTCTCGTTTTCATTTAGGAAAGCCTTTACTTTAACTCCAAAGTTAGCCTTTCATTAAGTTGTTTAGGAAAAAATATTTAAAAGCGTAAAATTGGTTTTCATGGCGTAACAGCGTAATTTTGTGGTAAAAAAGGGGAAAAATTACGCCAAAAGCGGAAGGGTAGGCAGGTCTGCATTCCGTATAAAAATGTCAATTAATATGTTGATAAAGATAATTTCGAAAAGGCCCAAAGGGTGGGAACGGTACAAAAAAATTTCTTGATTAAAACAGTCTTAATCCCATTCCTTACAGAATGAAAATAAGGTGTATGTCCCATCCTCAATTTGTATGCAAAAAGTCAACGTCCCATACATACATAACATAATCTTTCCAAATAATTAGCCGTCACGGTAGCTCAGTTGGTAGATCGCTGGCTCCTTGATCGGAAAGCCGTAATTTGAATCTCGGCCGCGACTGACCTAAGTCGATAAAAAATAGGTAGCAACTTTTCCTTCGCCAGGCGCTCGGCACTTTGAAGTGAAAGCTGCGGGTTCTTCGGATGAGACCTTAAAATCCGAGGCCCCGTGTCACAGCAGGCGTTGGCACGATAAAGATCCCTCACTGCTCAATTGCCCTGAGTGCCGAGTAAAGGTCTAAATTTGAAGCCCTTCACCGGTATATGGTGTCGTCTCTATATGAGTGAAAAATTCTCGAATGAGACGTAAAACAACATACAATCAATCAATCCAAATAATTAGGTTTTATGTATTGTATGCAAAAAATTAATTCTTAAAGTAAATGGAAATTATACTAAGTGTTCCCTCACTTCTTTAAAATAAAATCACATTTTTTCAACAGTTTGGTAAATTGTACAATATCTGATGTCCATTTTTAAACAAGTATACAGAGGCTTTTAGAACTTTAAAGAAAAGGCTTAATCAATTATCTTTACATACAGTTATGTAAAAGAGTAATCTTGAAATCTTGCAGGCAAATCTATTAATCTTATGGATATCATTTTTTTAATGACGCTGTAGGTAATTTATTGTCACTTTTTGATTCCTCAACCTCCATCCCTGCCAACCAAAGTTGGTGCTGTGGGGGTCATGACCCAAAATTCAGAAATGAAATGTTGGGTCATAGCGCGCGACGACAGTTTTAAAGGTTGAAGTAACAATATAGTTCCTAATTTTTAGGCATCAATGCAAACACATACATGTATTGCAGACTTAAGTTGTAATCAGTACAGGCCAGTTTTGCTTGTTTAAGAACACTTTCAGAAGGATAGTAATCTAACATTCACAATCTTTGTTCTGCTTAGCACAAAACAATGATCATACAGTGTCATTCTTCAGTTCAGACCTAAATTCAGTAACGAATTTTCCATCACTGAAAACATTCTCTCTGATTCAGCTTTAGAAATAGGAATTATTTGACACATTGATGCAAGGAAATCTTTTCTTATTAGTGAATGTTTCCTTCATTTCAGCTAATTCTCCACGGTTTCTTTCAATAATAATCTCTTTAATGATACGTAAGCAATGTTTCATGATATTTCGTTTTGGGTGGTTTCTTTGCACAAAATAACCAATGACCTGCCAAGATTTTACTCACTTTTAATACAAATGAATGTGATATATGGTGTCTTTTTAACTTCAGTACACTTTCATACTACATAATTTTTTTTCATTGAAATATAAAATTCTACAAAAATATATCATACCTCTATGACTTTGACCTTCTCTGTTTTTTTACGTTAAGTATTGAACGCAACCAACTGTTCTCTAAAACTTCCATCAGAAAATAAAGTTTATTTCGGTAAGACACGGACTTTGTGCGCTCCAATGAGGTTGCAGTTTGTTAATGTGTTTGACAGTTAGCAGTTTGCCTTTAAGTCACTTAACTTAAACTTTGGCCGAAATAAGTTTTATTCTCTAGTTTTCCTTCCTTTCACTGATCATTTTTGTGTAAAAACTGAATTCGTTTTTTTAGGTCACCTGAGTCACCCAGGTGACCTATTGCTATCCGTTTTCGTCCGTCGGCGTGCGTCGTGCGATGTGCGTTAACATTTGAACTTTTTTAGCTTCTTCTCTGAAACCGCTCAACCAATTTCAACCAAATTTGGCATATAGCATCTATGGGTGAAGGGGAACAAAAATTGTGAATTTCATGGTCCCTGCCCCCCTGGGGCCTGAGGGGTGGGGCTAAAACCATCAAAATTAATGCAATCTTTAAAAATCTTCTTCTTTACTCCTGGACATCAAGCAGTCAAACTGTTGGCATCATTGTAATAAACATTGAGTCCTCTACCAAAATTGTGAAATTCATGAGGGTCAGAGGTTCTGGTGCTAGGGCGGGGCTATATAGATCATATAGTGAAAGTGCATTATTTCTTTGAAAATCTTCTTCTCTGCTCCTGGGTATTAAATGAACTAACTAAGTATATAGTTATGATGAAGAAGAGTGCCTCTTCCAAAATTGTGAAATTCATGGTCCCAGGGTCTGGGATTCTGGTATTAGGGCGGGGCTCTATTGATTATATAGTGAAAATGCATTAATTCTTTGAAAATCTTCTTCTCTGCTCCTTGGTATTAAATAAACTTACTAAGTATATAGTTATGATGAGTAAGAGTGCCTCTTCCAGAATTGTGAAATTCATGGCCCCAGGGGCAGGGGTTCTGGTGTTAGGGCGGGGCTCTATTGATTATATAGTGAAAATGCATTAATTCATTGAAAATCTTCTCTGCTCCTGGGTATTAGATAAACTAACTAAGTACATAGTTATGACTCTACCAAAATTGTGAACTTCATGACCCCAGGGTCAGAGGTTCTGGTGCTAGGGTGGGGCTCTATTGATTATATTAGTGAAAATGCATTAATTCTTCGAAAATCTTCTTCTCTACTCCTGGGTATTATTGAAACACATTAAATACATAGTTATGATAATCAAGGATGCCTCTTCCAAAATTGTGAAATTCGTGGCCCCTGGATCAGGGGTTCTGGTGTTAGGGCGGGGCTCTATTGATTATAAAGTGAAAATGTTTTAATTCTTTAAAAATCTTTTTCTCTGCACCTGGGTATTATTTAAACAAACTAAGTACATTGTTATGATAAGCAAGGATGCCTCTTCCAAAATTATGAAATTCATGGCCCCGGGGACAGGAGTTCTGGTGCTAGGGCGGGGCTATATAGATCCTATAGTGAAGGTGAATTATTTCTTTGAAAATCTTCTTCTCTGCCCCTGGGTATTGTTTAAACAGACTAAGTACATTGTTATGATATGCAAGGATGCCTCTTCCAAAATTGTGAATTTTATGACCCCAGGTTTAAGGGTTCTGGTGAAGGGGGGGGGGGGCTTCTATTGATTATAAACTGAAAAAGCAAAATTTCTTTGAAAATATTCTTTTCTGCTTCTGGTTAGAAAAGCAAAGAAGCTAAGTGTATAGTTATGATGAGCAAGAACGCTTCTTTCAGAGTAGTTAATTTCATGACCCCTGGGTCAGATGTGCTGGTGTGAGGGTGGGGCTCTTGAAAATATAGTGAAAATTCATTAATTCTATTAAATAATCCTGTTTGCTCCTTAGTGTTAAGCAGAAAAACAAAGCGATTAGTTATGATGAGCAAACTTATGGTTCCAGGGTCAGAAGCTATGGTGTTTTTTTTTGGGGGGGGGGGGGCTCTATTGATAATATAGTGAATCTGTAGTAAAAATGCATTATTTCTTTAAAAATCTTCTCCACACCTGGGCATATCTGAGGCAAACAGAGTTAAAAATTGTATAAGGAAGGAAATTTTTACCAGATTTTTGAACATCTGGACCATTTGGTCAAGTGTTCTGGTCCTGGCCAGGGCTCTATTAGTTTGTATTCTACTGAGAGGAGTTATTCCCCTTTGCCATTTACTTTTGATAATTTATCACTGTAAATAATGTACTTGAAAGGTAAATAGAATAAGAGGATTATGCAAAAACTTTTATTGTATAATAAAAGTACTTTCATTGTTTTAATGATCAGATAGACTTGTAAGTAGTAGATAAATAAAAATGAGACAAAAATAACTTGTCTTATTAAATGTTCGTCAAAGACCAAGAGAGGCCAATGTAAGAGATTTCAACAAGGGATTAAAATAGTACAGAAGCATTGATAATTTGTTAATATACTGCATGGTGATAGTGATAAATGGGGAACAGATTAGAACCTTATTTATGAACTGTTAATGAATATTAAGACCAATTATTTTGTTGATCATGATCACCATATTT